AAAGAGTGTAAACATTTGTCAATAGAAGGACATTAAAAACATCCTATGCAGGCGCTTTCCTGGTGGCACAGTGGTTGAGAGTCCGCCTGCTGATGCAGGGGACGCGGGTTCGTGCCCCGGTCCCGGAACATCCCACATGCCACAGAGCGCCTAGGCCCGTGATCCATGGCCACTGAGCCTGTGCGTCCGGAGCCTGTGCTCTGCAATGGGAGAGGCCACAACAGTGAGAGGCCCACGTACCGGAAAAAAACAAAAAACAAAAAACATCCTTTGCAGTCATTAAAAAGATTGAAGTTGATAAGTATGTACTCATATGGAATGATGTGCATGATTTGTTACCAGAAAAAAGTATTGTTAAATGATACTAATATTTTGTTTTATCATTCCAATTATACTTTCCATAATAATTATCTCTGAGAAATGGTATCATAAGAGACTTTTTAGTATTTATCAGTCTTACAATTCCTAGAATAGCATATTGTTTCTTTGATCAAAAAAATAATAATGAAAAAGAATGCTGGCAATTTCCCATGCTTTCTCCATGATTATGTATCTATTTTCATAGGAAAAACAAGTGAACAAAAAATTAAGTTTACCTATGCAGTGAACTGGTAATTGTATTGTGTATGTGTATGTTAACCCTAAGCACAGATCTACAAGTTGTTTATTTTATACCCTGCCTGTTTCCAAAAGGAATGAATGTACCTTTTCCCCAAGCTAAAGAACCAGTTCAGTATATTCAAAATAGCATATGCACTAGATGAACTCAGTAAACACTTGCTCAAATAACAATCGTCTTTAGGAAATTTGTTTTGTGTGTTTGTTAGGAAATTTGGGGCACTCTAAAGTATGGGGCCCAGGGTTGAGCTACTCTTGCCGGGGATTAAGGGTGGTAGTGAACCGTTGCTCAGACACGTGCGTGGCTTCTTACCCACACTATAAGCTCCTTATGGGAAAACAACTTGACTTCTTTAAAAATTAGTCTTCTCTCTTCAGTTGTGAGCCTAGCTCTTCAGAAATGAGAAATGAATATAGTGCCGCTCCTTGAAGGAATAATGATACGAAGTTTTAAAAGTGACAAGTTGAATAATGTTATTACTGAGACAATCATGGTGAAGAAAATCCATTTGTAGATAAGCTTCTTAAGGAGGGCTGGGATGGAAAAGCAGACACCCAGAGGAGCTTTGTTACTGTGTTCATTCTCTCGCATCACCTTGTGCTTTATTTAACTTTGTGGCATCTATCACAAAAACAGTATAATTATTTACTTCTGAAAAATCACACAAACTATATGAACTCAGTAAATACCCAGATTGCAAGTCATGAGTCTGTGTGTCTGTCCTCCCACCACCTTTCTTGAAGTCATCAAGGAGAAATTCTGGAAGCCTCCAAATGTTTTGAAAAGACTCATTGTTCTGTTTTTAAGTTCAGATAAAGCCATCAATTTATTACACTTCACAGCTTTCCTTATATGTGACAGCCTACTGTTTAAGACTATATGGGCATTTTGCATTTGAAAGAAGGTAAGGGACTCAAAACCTGGCTGGGGCTTATAAACACTTGGTTGGCTTCTACATATAGGTCATTGTATGTGCTTAGGTGAAGCATGCAAACATACTCACACACAAAATCACCTCCTATGTGTCCTCACAAAGAGTACACACAATGTGTTATATAGAAACTGATATTTTTTAGTACATTTGATATCCAAACTAACCTCGTCAGATTGGGAGATACCTTTTACATGTCCATTTTTTCACTATTTGTTGACTACCTACTGTACCAAAGCACTGTGCTGGGTGCCGTAGGGATATAGGGATGAGTAAGATGCAGCCTTGAGAAGCTTGTTGTACCAGGAAATAAGCTACTGTTATTAGAAACAGAATCTTGAAAATAGCTCATTCATTTCCCTAGTAGAGGGTTGCCATCCGTTTGCTCGCTGGCCAGAGCCTTGCAAAATTTCAGTTGTGGTAAAAGAATGCTCAGGTAATCTCTTCATTTTTCTTGACAACGTATCAAATAGAATGTGTAAGTTGATGTGTTAAGGAACTGGGGCATGATGGCCCCCAGTCTCTGGTTGTAAGCATTTTCCTCCTCCTTTGTTCAAATAAATGCCAAAGCCTGTTTATAAAAAAAAAAAAAAAAAATTTCAGTTGTGGCACCACAGAGAGAAAAGTAATTTGAATTGGATTTACCCTCAAAATTGACGAGGATCAAGACTTTGAACTTGATCCAGTTTTCTTCTCATGTATACTTGAAAAAAAAAAATCAACTTCAGAGTTATAAGGTAAAAACTATCATAATTGCATTGGATTGTAATTATGATTGTTACTTTTAAAGAGGTACAGAAAATGCTGAGTTGATTGGCAAAATATTAATGTTAGATATAATTCTGTGATGATGTTTGCCTCATACAATCTGGTTTTACCAAAACATATTTATCCACTTAAAGAATTTCTTTTTGCTTAATATTTTTCTTCTCTTTTGCAGGAGTTTCTTTTATCAGAAGATTATAACAAGATGACTCCTGTGAAAAACTATCAAGGTAGGAACGAGAGCAGTGTTTTCATTGTCTTAGACTGTGAAATGTTTCTCGGTGGCTTCCACTGCCACAAGAGAGGACTTAACTTTACAGCAGTCAGCGGGAACAAAACAGCAACCCTTTGTAGTGAATATTATCCCCATTTTTGAATCAAGAAGCAGAGGCCCAAAGAGATTGGGCGTGTGGTCTTGTAGCTGGTAAAGTGTGAAGCCAGACAAGGTCAGTGTGACTCCAGGACGCACAGCCTTTGTCCTTTGTCTGCCCGCTCCACCCCACTGCCTGGAAAACCTGCGGCAGACTTGGAGAGTGGGGTCCAAGGCTGGCTTTCCATGGAGCTCATTTCATTTTGGGGTAAATATTTTAAAAGGCTGAAAGTGTTCATATTGTCTAAGGGAAGGAATTCAGGTTTTATTGTGTCTTCAACATTGGTAGTGTACTGTAAGCCCTTTATATAGTATAGATCAGGAGCAATTTTCACTGAGGATTTTTTTCATCCAGGCCAATGTCAGGGGTCAGAACATGAGAGGTAGACGTCATTTCACTTAGACGTCATTTCTTCCAAATCTCGTGACCTCATTCATGATCATCCAGCCTCTCCTCTGATAACCCTCCAAAGACATAGCAGCCCCTCCTGATTTTGGAAAATTCTAAGCATTGAGTTCTTTATTTCTAGATTTTGAGCCAAAATTCATTTCCCTATGGATTTATTCTTTAATTTTTTTCACATATCACTTATCCAGTATTTATTGAGTACCTATTGTGTTCCAATAACTGAGAATTATAATAGTGAACAAGACATGCATAGTATCTATGCATCCCCCATGAAAATAGATGCAAAAACATCTACACAAAATTTCAGCAGATCAAATTCAGCAATATATAAAAAGGTAAGTACATCACAACCAAGTGAGGTTTATTCCCAAGAGAAATCACAGCAGGGACAGATATTTTTATACCCTTATGTATAGCAGCATTATTCACAATAGCCAAAAAGTGGAAACAATGTTCATGTATGAATGAATGGATAAACAAAATGTAGTGTATCAATACAGTGAATTCTTATTTGGCCATAAAAAGGGAATGAAGTACTGATACCTGCTACAATGTGGATGAATCTTGAAAACATGCTAAGTGAAATAAACTAGACACAAAAAACCATACATTGTATGATTACCGTTATATGAAATGTTAAGAATAGCAGAATCCATAGAGACAGAAAGTAAATTAGTGGTTACCCAGGGATGGGGAAGGGGAAATTGGGGGTATGGGTTTCTTTTTGAGGTGATGGAACTGTTCTGGAAATAGTACATTTTCTATGATGATTGCACAACATTGTGAATATACTAAAGATCAGTGAATTATACACTCTTAACATGGTTTAAATGGTGAATTTTATATTATGTGAACTTTATCTCAATTAACATTTTTTAAAAGGTCAGTGATACCAAAACCAGACAAAGACATTACAAGAAAGGAAAACTACAACCCAATATCTCTCATGAGCTTAGATGTAAAAATCTTCAAAAAAATACTAGCAAATCCTACAATGTATGAAACGAATTATACACGATGACCAAGTGGGGTTTATTCCAGATATGCAAAGCTGGTTCAACTTTTGAAAATCAGTGTAACCCATTACATCAAAAAACTAAAGAAGAAAAATCATATGATCATATTAATTGATGCAGAAGAAACATTTGATAAAATCTGACACCCATTCATGATAAAAACTCTCAGCAAATTACAAATAGAGGGGATCTTCCTCAACTTGAGAGAGAAACGTCTATAAAAAACTATAGCTAACATCATACAGTTGACCCTTGAATAATGCAGGGGTAAGGGGTACCAACCCTCCCCACAGTGGATAATCCATGTATAATTTATAGTCGGGCCTCTGTATCCGCGGTTCCTCTGTGTCGCGGTTCCTCCACATCCGCGGATTCAACCAGCCTCGGATCGTGTAGTACTGTAGTATTTACTGTTGAAAAACATCTGCGTATAAGTGGACCCACGCAGTTCAAATGTGCATTGTTCAAGAGTCAACTGTACTTAATTGTGAGAAACTGGATGCTTCCTCCCTAAGATCAAGGTCATGGCTCCTATTTGAGAAGTACAGCCAGGCTTCAAGCCCAGGTTCCTGAAGCTTAACAATACATATGTATCTTCAAAGGGCTTCTTTTCGAATAAGAGAATTCTGTCACCTTAGAAAGATTATGTGCTTTGAGTTTCAGAGTTTGTTTTTTGTTTGTTTTTGTTTGGCTTTTCAGTAGTCATAGGCAGCCTGACAGAGAAAGAGAACCAACTTTGGCAGAGAGACTAGGCTTTCAATTCTAGCCTCATCACTCATTGATTATGTAGCTTTGAGCAAGTCACGTAACATTTTTGAGCCTCCGTCTCCTCCTCTGGCAGCTCAGAGGGCTGTAAACCCCCTTATCTTCTGGGCTACTGTCATCCCCTTGGACTTACAAAGTAACAGAAAGAAGATCAAAGGCCCCTTCATGAGAAAAGGGAGCAAAGCACTGGGGACCACTTTCTGCCTGCAATAGATGTGGGTACAGTTGAAAGTGAACCACTAAGAGAGTTCGCTTTTATTCCACCATTGGTGGAACTTAAATTGGGCATTTGATGACACAGACATGACAGGATCTTCAGAAGTTTCTCCAGGAAGTCCCATCTTTTAGTTTAAGACAACGTTTTGATCTTGATGGTGGCCGATTCTCTGAAAGGCAGACACTGTGTAGAGATGTTAACAGTATTATTGTTTCTATACCCCTTCTCAATCCCTTTAGATTCTCTAAGCGCCAAATATCGGAGTTTAAAACATCAGGCATTTGGTGAAATGTCTGTCCCGGAAGTATTCACTATGGTTCTGACTGTATTGTTTGTTAGCCAGTCTAGAAGCGCCATCTTGGCAAGGCTGGGTTGTGTCTGTAAAAGGAGGAAAACACCCAGCTTTGCAGAGTCATTACAATGACTAAGTGAGACAATATCTTTAAGTACCTGGCACTTGTTAGACACTCAGAAATTGGCAGTGATGCTGTTATTGCTGATAGAGCTGCATTGATCCATCCATGTCCAGTCCTATTTTCATGATCCAAATGGGAAGCTGATGGCTTCTCTGTCATCTCGTCACACACAGGATGAGTCTCCTCTCACCCACCAGGCTGCCAGCTCCTGGGCACAGAGCCCAGTGGGTCCAAGTTCTGGGATATCAATCTTCGTTTATTCCAGTCAGCTCTGTTCAGTGGCCGTGGACCCCCTATACCTGTCCCCCTGGAATTGTATAAGAAGAAGAAAGCGAATATTTTACTGATTTTATTTGGTAATTGAGAAGCCATGAGGTTGGCCAAACTACTCAACTCGATCGTGCCTCAGTTTGCCCACGTGTAAAATAGGGAGATGGAGTATAGATGACATGAATAGTTCTTCTGACTCTGAAATTGTGTGATGCGGTACTTCTGTGATGGTGTTGTCCTTGTATATAAGCAACCCTGGGAAATTTGCTCTCATTATCTCATTATGTATGCTTTGACGTAAGGGATATTTCATTCTTTTTTATATGGCACTTGGGAATAATTTTGCCCTCCTCTCCAAGCTCCAAGCATTTGATTTCTTACAGAAAATTCATCTAGAACTTTGTTGTGGGTTTAAAAGCCAGGCTTCATCAAAAGGAGAACAGTAATGCTCTTTGCTTTTTTTTTTAAGCTTAAATAAACAGACACCAGTGAGTTTATTAGCAGAACATTGTTCCTAATGTGTTTTGTAGTCACACTGATCTGCCTTTCTCTAGTCCAGCAGTTCTAACATGTCTGAGAGAGGTGGTCCAGGCCCTTTGGGTGTTAGGAAAATTTTCTTTCTTTCTTTCTTTCTTTTTTTTAAATTAATTAATTAATTAATTAATTATTTTTTTGGCCACATCACATGGCATGTGGGATCTTAATTCCCCAACCAGGGATCGAACCCACACCCCCTGCATTGGAAGCATGGAATCTTAGCCACTGGACTGCCAGGGAAGTCCCGGGAAAATTTTCTTATGGAAATGCAGGTGTGGTCTTCTCCAGGGGCATGCCTGTCCCCCTGATGAGAACCACTGTTCTAGCCCTTGTTTGTAATGATTATCTACTGTTCAGCTTGCTCTGGGGTGGGGAGGAGAGAATGATGCATCTCTGTGGACCATGCTTTACCAGCCTCTTTTAGGATGCCTTATGGGTTGTTTTCTTGTCTCTTGGCTTTTAGCGCATCAGAGCAGAGTGACGATGATCCTGTTTGTCCTGGAGCTGGAGTGGGTGCTGAGCACGGGACAGGACAAGCAATTTGCCTGGCACTGCTCTGAGAGTGGGCAACGCCTGGGAGGTTATCGTACCAGTGCTGTGGCCTCAGGCCTGCAGTATCCTTTGCTGGACAAAATCCCTTGGTGGGAACTTAGCTGTTGACTTCTTTCTTTCATGAACATTTTGGGTATGTGCAAAGTTTCTTGTTTTACTTGCTAGTTGCCCTACTGATTAAGATGCTTATGAACTGGGCTTCCCTGGTGGCACAGTGGTTGGGAGTTCGCCTGCCGATGCAGGGGACACGGGTTCGTGCCCCGGTCCGGGAGGATCCCACATGCCGCGGAGCGGCTAGGCCCGTGAGCCTTGGCCACTGAGCCTGAGCGTCCGGAGCCTGTGCTCCGCAACGGGAGAGGCTACGGCAGTGCAAGGCCCGCGTACCGCAAGAAAAAAAAAAAAAGTGCTTATAAACTTTCCTAACACATAAATCATCAAGAGTCCTCATGTAGGTGGAGTAAAGTAATTTCACCTGAAATAAGTTACTGCCGAGCAGGTTGTGGGTCTGCTGTGATACAAAGTCTGACATCTAGACAGTACACAGACCAGATTTGTGAGCCTCAGCTGTCAGAAAGAATTATGGAACATGGAGATAAAACCGTCACTGAAATACAGTCTTTTATTTTTGAACAGAAATAATTTACACATAGGTATTAAGGTTGGAAACATTCCCATTTTGGTGCCTGGCAGAAGAACCACAGGATTCCTATTCATTTTAAGAATATTTATTGAGAGGCCACCATGCCGGGACCAGAGTAGGCTGACTGGTATCTACACAGTAATGCTACGCAGTCTTTGTTCCAGGTACCAGACTTTTCCAGGATATGTAGAACGATATTAACTCTTATCTCTCAAGTCTCCAGGGTCCATGTGCTCAGTGTGAACACCTGCCAATGCTGGGTAATCTTCACATCCAGCCCCCTGGGCTCCAGTGAACACAGGCCTGACAAGTGAGAAGCCTGTACTGGTGATGCTACCACTCTGAGGAGTAAAGGACCCTGAGTTTCTTCTTTTAAAAGCATAGAATCTCTCCACCTTCTGACAGATGAGGAAATAGTTATAAACAGATCACTTGTCTGCAAAAACAGGATGAAACAGTAAGACTTGCTTTCAGATTTTCATCTAGTATTTATATGCCTGTTCAGTGATTTGCAACCACCTGACAAAGTATTGCACCTTGCTGTTTCCTTGCAGACATGTGGCAGTAGTTGTGTGTGTGTGTGTGTGTGTGTGTGTGTGTGTGTGTGTGTGTGTGTGTGTGTTTAGGCTAATGTCACTCTTATTTTCCACCTGGAAGGGCAAGATGAAGAAACTGAGAATGGCCATATGGAAGGCTGTAAAAGTGGCATGTTACCAAGAAGACCAGAAGCAAGGGCGACAAGAGTGGAAATCAAGATCAACTTATTGGGCTTCCCTGGTGGGGCAGTGGTTGCGAGTCCGCCTGCCGATGCAGGGGACGCGGGTTCGTGCCCCGGTCCGGGAAGATCCCATATGCCGCGGAGCGGCTGGGTCCGTGAGCCGTGGCCGCTGAGCCTGCGCGTCCGGAGCCTGTGCTCCGCAACGCGAGAGGCCACAGCAGTGAGAGGCCCGTGTACAGCAAAAAAAATAAAAGATCAACTTATGTTTGAGAGGGTGCTTAAAGAAAGAAACTCCAAAGTTTACTTTCTAAAAGCCAGTTCAGACAAGCATAATGCTTGAATCGAAATACATGAACTCTCCTGCCAATGGATTAATGATTTCTTGTAGTGTTAGTATTGGATCTCCCTTAGAGATCATCCATCCAATTTCTCATTTACAGGTGAGCCAGCTGAAGCCCAGAGAGGGTCACATGCCTTATCTGCAGCCACCCAGCTGGTGTGTAGGAAAATCACCACCAGAACCCAGGTCTTCTGCCTTGGACTGCTGGTTCTTCCCATTATACTGCATTATCCCTCTGAGAACAGAACTAATGGCATCAATGTAATTTGTTCTTAACATGCTGGCTTCTATATCACTAGCCACGCCTAGTGAGGTATCTTCTGTATCACCTAACCAAACCAAGGAGTATAGAAAAAAATACAGATCTTGCCCTTAAGAAGTTTACTTTTTAAACGATCTGAAAATGAAAACCAAAAACAAAAAACCCCACAAGTACACAGAATTAAACTTGTCCTGACTCTTATAGTCTTTGACTCCTCTCTTCTGGCATCTCCAAAAGTCATCTTCATTTTTCGACCCTTCTTTGCCATGTGGTTTACCAAGCAGAAAAAAAACATGTGATTGGCTGTCAGAAACTTTTGTGTGCAGTGAAAGCCTCAGGCTTCCTTCCCCAGTGCAAATGACCCTCCAGTCCAACCTTGCTATTAAGGTGGAAGGCAGCTGCAATACTGCAGACAGAGAGGCCCTTCCAGAAGACTCCCTCACCTCTACCAGCTCTGCCTCCTTAGCTCCAATTCTGGAACCGCAGTGCCAGCCCTTGCACCTGGGAGCATCTGTCTGCCTGGTATTTTCCCAGTGCCGCATGCTGATGCATAACAGCACTGCTTTTGCAGCTGAGACCCACGCAACTTTCCCAAGGCTGCAGGGTTTTTTCTGGGAGCTGCCTGATGCATAGATTGTTAACGGGCAACCCATACAGTGTTGGGGTTCACGTTAAAGTCCAGTTTTTAAACATGCTTTTTCCATGGGAACCCTCCTCCATCACCTCACCCCTCTTCTTTCTGCCACCTTCTGTACTTACCGGTTTCTGGTGTTTTGGTCTTTTTGGTTTTTCAGTTTTTTAGTGATAAGGAAAGGAAGAAGATCTGTTAAAATAACATAAAATGTTAAGAATAATATTATGACCCCTATTTCTCTTCATAGTGGGCACTGGTGGTGTACATAAGAGTTTTCTACAGATGGATTGATTCTCTCCCATCTATACCTCAAATAGTCAAGCCAACAAGTGATAGAATAAGTCAGATTGACATCACCCTTTTTCCTCTTCTTTCAGCCTCTTAGCAGAGAAGTAAATAAGCAATGAAAGTAACCAGAATTCAAGTAGAGAAATAAAGGATGACAGAGACTGACTAGTTCACAAGTTGAATTATCAATTTCGGAATCATCTCAAAATCTTTGTTGCTTTGGCTAAAGATCTGATGCTTCAAATATTAAGTGAACTATCATGTTAACAACAACAACAATAAGAAGAAAGTGAAGGTGAGGAAAAAGAAGAAAATATCTTACCTTTGCAGAGTCCCTGAGAGTTGACATAGTGTTTCTACATAATGTTACTTTGTTCACTAGCAAAACACAAAGACCGAATTCTCAATTTTCACATGTAGAAAAGCCTCCGAGAGGCTCAAAATGATTATGAAACCTTCTCAAGGTCACATGGCTGTTACCTGGCAGAACCAGGATTAGAACTCAGGTATTAAAATCTTTGAGCTAGCCCTCTGCACAACTAGATATAGCAGAACAGAGGGATTTCCCAAAGGTCCCGTGGCAGGCTGATGCAGGAAATAGAACTGTTTTCCTTCCCCACTTCAATTGATGGGTCTTTATTTTTGTGACTACTTTACCTAGCCACACCTTTCAGTCTGTCATTTGACCAAGTTTTGGTCACATTTTTCATGCTTCCACAAAACTAATTCAGGTACTCTTCATTTTAAGAATTTATTCCTGTTGGAGATATTTCCAAGATGTCACCCTATATAGTCAAATGCCTTTCCACCAAGCATTCTCTTCTATCTATTCCTATTTGTGGAAAGAGTCCTGAAAAGCTATTAAGATTATCCTGATTTTCATATTTCCTCATATCATACTAAATGCCAATCACTCTGGTTTTGAGCATTATTATAAACTCTTAGGGTTTTGTTTTTTAATAATATATTCAGTATATTTCAGTAAATTGCTCCCCTTTTTTTGATGCTCATATTGTCCCATCTTTGGCTAGTAAGAGCCACATCATGTTGGCTCCTATGTCTTTCTGATACAGCCCCACTAGCCTTTGATAGCGTCTTTGCTTTTTGACATGACATGTCTTAAGCTCATCTGGTACCTTCCTGTCCCAGTCCTGGAATCGGCCATTTCTCTTAGTGAGGAATAGTATTCAGAGATAGCTAGCAAATATATGTATGTGTATTTAAAAAAAGAAAATAAATGATTAGTTCACATAATATTTCTAATTCAAATTTAACATTATAGCATACTTTTTTTTTTTTTTTTTTTTTTTTTTTGTGGTACGCGGGCCTCTCACTGTTGTGGCCTCTCCCGTTGCGGAGCACAGGCTCCGGACGCGCAGGCTCAGTGGCCATGGCTCCTGGGCCCAGCCGCTCCGCGGCATGTGGGATCTTCCCAGACCGGGGCACGAACCCGCGTCCCCTGCATCGGCAGGCGGACTCTCAACCACTGCGCCACCAGGGAGGCTCCTTTACTTCATTTTTGTACTTGATTCTTTTGGGCTAAAAACCTTTGTTCCTAAACATCAGCATAATTCTTTATTTGCTTTATCCCATGGTATATTTAAGTTGTTTTAAATAGTAATAGCAATATTATAATAGCAAGTCTACTGAATAAGATTTTAGATTTTTTTTTGCAGCTTTCTTTGTCCTGAGAATATATTCTACCAAGAATGTATAGTCAAAATGCTGTGTTTTAAAGTCACTTGAAATAATTCTTTTAGCTCTGTGGTTGTATCAGCAAGTTGACAGTAGGTTTATTCACTTTACTTTGTTGTCGATTTAGGGGATTTAAAAAAATGTATGAGTATTTTTCACATGTAACATAATTGCAAGATTCCATAATGGAAACAATGTAATGAGAGAGAAGTCTCACTATCACCCCTTTCCCCTCAGCTTGTTTCACACTTTTCCATTGGCAGCCATTTTTGATCAATCTTGATTTATCAAGGTGCTTCCTTTTGTAAATATAAGCACACACACACACTTATATTTATGTTTCCCTCTTTCTTACAGGAAGGTAGTGTAGCATATAAACTTCCATAAACCTTGGCTTTCCCCCCCACCCACTTAATAATATATCCTGGAGGGACTTCCCTGGTGGTCCAGGGGTTAGGACTCCGTGCTTCCAGTGCAGGGGTGCAGGTTCGATCCCTGGTTGGGGAACTAAGATTGCACATGCCGTGGGGTGCAGCCAAAATTTTTTTTAAATAATAATAAATATAAAGTTAACAGAAGGCTATTAAGGCTGTAACATCTAAGTCTCTATTAAAAAAAAAATATATATATATATATATAAAATAATATATCCTGGAAATTACTCCATGTCAAATTTCCCAGCTGTGTAGTATTCTTTTGCATGGATGTATCATAGTTAATAAGTCCTCTTTTGATGGACTTTTGGGTTGTTTTCAAACTTTAGCTCTTACTGTAATACGGAGTGAATAGCTTCAGGCATGTGTCAATTCATATTTTGGCCATTGTGCCTCTGGTGTAGATCTCTACAAGTAGGATTGCTAGGCATTACCAACCAGGGAAGATCTCTAGAGACTCAGGGCCTTGGGTAGTTACTGGAGACTGACTGGTCACACAGGTACCCTCTTCCTGCATGTACCAAAATTCCAGACTCCCATAAGGAGGACTTCCCTGGTGTCCAGTGCTTAAGACTCCGTGCTTCCACTGCAGGGGGCACGGTTTCGATCCCTGGTCAGGGAACTAAGAACCCACATGCCGCATGGAGTGACCAAAAGGAAAACAAAAACAAAAAACAGACTTGCAGAAGGAAAACAGGTGTTTAGCATAAACCATATTGTTTGTACAGTTAAGGCACAGTCAGCCACTTTTGTCTGTTAATGGTGGGAACCCTCCTGAAATCCAAGTTTCCAGATGCCATGCCAATCTTGTAACAGCAGCCTTTCAAAGGGTAGCCTGCTAGGTTAATTTTTTTTTTTTTTTTTTTTGCAAAGCACCATTGTCATTTCTTGAACTATCCATTCATGTATCTTGCCTGTTTTTTATTAGGTTTGTAATCTTCTTCTGGATTGCTCTTTTTATATTAGGTATTCGGGCCTTTTGTGACATCAGTTGCAAGTATTTTTTCCAATTTGTCTTGTGCTTTGCTTATGGCATTTGTTTGTTGTTTGTGTATTTGAGTCGTAGCTTTTCCCACTCCAAGGTTATAAAGGAACTCTCCCATCTAGAACTTATATTTTTCCTTTTTTACATTGGACTTCATCCTGGTATAAAGTGAAGTACAAATCCTGTTTTATTTTTCCAAATGACTGGTTCAGTTTGTGCCAACTTTGCTTTTCGCCCTTCTTTTCCTTATTCATTTGAAAAGCCACCTTTATCAGATATGTACTAATTTCTGCATGCTTTTGGGCCTATTTCTAGACTTTCTTTTCTGTTCCATTGGTCTGTTTGTCTATTTAAGCACCACACTTTCAATTAAAGAGACTTTGTAACATGTTTTAATATCTGGTAGGGCTAACCTCCCCCATCACAATACCGTATTACTCTTATTTTCAGAATATTCCTGGCTCTTCTTGCTTATGTATTTTTCTATGTGGACTTTAGAATGAACATACCTAACTGTAGGAAAAAAACCCACATGTTGATACTTTTATAGGGATTATATTAAATTCATAAATTCATGTTGTGAAAATTGACATGTTTATCATGTTGAGTCTTACCATCCAGTAAGTAATGTCTTTCATTTCGTTATGTCCACTTTTTGTGTCTTTCAGCATTATATTCAACTTCTCCCGTGAGATTTGCGCATTTCTTTGACATGTATTGCTTTTTCTGGTGTGTTTGTGGAGAGAGGGGGGTAAACCATCCGCTCACATTTGAGAAACGATCCTTAATGCTTACATGATAGATTTGATGTTGAAACCCGGCATGTGTTTATTGGTGACCACTCAGGCCAAGTAACCATCCTCAAACTGGAGCAAGAAAACTGCACCCTGGTCACAACATTCAGAGGACATACAGGTGGGATTGAAAGCAGACCCTCCATGTGCTGCTCTCACAGTGACCTGTCGCCTGCTGCATGTTCTGATGTTCACAAGATGTGGTGTGAAAGTGACGAGGTACAGTCTGGGCTTGCGCAAAGATACACGTGACGCGTGTGACTGATTTCAGAATGGTTCAGTAAGGTACAGTGTCAGAAATTTTCTCCATCAGTCAAACAAAAGAGCAAACAGTCTATTTCAAAAATGGTGGTGTTGTGGTTCTTTGTCATGCTACGCTGGAGAAAGCCCTTGTTTGCATATGTTAATGCGACATTGTTTGAGGCTGTGTGGCAACTGCACAAACAGTTGGACAGAAGGACAGCTGCCTCGGTCTGTCCTTGCCATCCTTGGAGCGAGAAAATGGTATGCAAGACAGACTCCTACTTCCAAGACAAATGAAATGAAAAATCGATTTGTCGTGCATAGCTAGCCTACATCAAAAGGTTCAAGTTCCTCTTTAATTTTCCTTCCTCTGGGGCTCTTTTCAAGGCCCCCTTTATGTTACTGGTCTGCTCAAGGTCATTTAAGCAAGGTGATAGACTGTATCCACACTTAACCTTTGAAAGACTTGAGTAAATGCTGATGACTAATTTTTTACTAGTATTTTTAACATGTGATGTTGCCCCTGGAGAATGAATAACTGCCTGTTTTCCTGGTTCTTAATGGGCTTTGGTGTCTTCTGCAGTTTACCAGCCCATGATTCAGTATAGAACAAGGTTAATATTTGAGTTTAGACGTCATATAAGAACAAAAGTAGGTGAATGAGGATGTAAAATGGGATAGTATCTAGCTCATAAGGGAGTTCCTAAAGGGAAAAAGAGCAATGCAATAAAGAGAAAATTGAATCCAGGGGAAAGATTCATAAAAGATCATCTTAATTATCTACACCTGAGGCAGGAAGAGCACATAGAAACCTCCCCTGTGGATAGAACCCAGGTCTTTCCTGATTGGATTTCTCTTTTTAGCCACCTACACTCTGACCAAGCCTGGCCTGGTGGGGACCTGAAACTATCTCAGGTCAGGACTGTTTCACTGCTGAGTTCGGTCTCCTAATCCTTGGCTTCCCAAAGCCCTTAACTCCACCTGCACTTGTTCTTGCCCTTGTTGAGGAGTCCTTCCCTTGATCCCTCACTGCCCAGCATCTCTGCCCCATCTTCCCTTCCTCTCCATCGCTTCAGCCACACGTTTCCCAGCATTCTTAGTTCAGGCCCCCTTGTTCCTCCTTGTTGGTACATTTCACCTGTGGTTCAGAGTATCCACGTCTCTCCTGCGCACTCAGCCACGGAGTGTGCCCTCGGGTTTGGGGTCACAGAACGAGCCTCACTCAGCTCATCGTCCCCAGTGCAGAGTCGTCATTCCAGTCCAGGCTCAGGAGTTGCCTCACAGCCCCTCACGTAACCCGGCTCTAAGTCCTTCGTACACAGTATGCTCCTTCTCTCAGTCCCTCAGCAGCTTTTTCAGACCTTCCCCGCTCTCCCCAGGCCTCCTTCAAAGAAAAACAGAGGCTATCAAATACAAGCTTTTTAAAAATGTTTATTTCTTGGCCACCCCATCTTCCCTCCCCAACAAGCAAGCTTTTCCTCCGCTTTCTCCTCATTGCTTGCCCTCCCGCCTCGTGCTGTCCTTGGCCCCAGACTCATCCTCCTGGGGGTCTCCACGTGGAAAGTTAATCTTTTGGTCTCCCTTTGGACCAACTCTTCTCAAGTTTCTAACATGCTGAGTTCCTTGCCTCTGTTAAAAAACAAACAAAACCCCTCTGATCCCATCTTATTTTCTTAACAGCAGTGCCGCTTTTCTCCTTTGTTTTTCAATTGCAGTAAAATGTACACAACCTAAAATTGATGCTTTTGTCCATTTTTGTGTTCAATTCAGTGGCATTAAGTACATTCACATTGTTGTGCACTGATCACCACCATCCATCTCCAGAACATTCTTCATCTTGCAGAACAGAAACTCTGTGCCCATGCAACCCCCTCCCCACAGCCCCTGGAAACCACCATTCTGCTTTCTGTCTCTTTGCACTATATATGAGGGGAATTGTGCAGTATTTGCTGTTCTGTGACCGGGTTATTTCACCTAGCATAATACCTTCACGTTGTCGGAGTCAGCAACGCTTCTTGAAAAAGTTATCATTTTCCCAGCCGCTTCGCATTCTGCGCTCCCGTTGGCTTTCCCGCCACCTGCAGTTTGACTCATCTCTATCACTCCTCTCACACTGCTCTCCCCGAGGTGGCCAGTGGTCTGCTGGTAGCTAAATCCAGTGGACATGTTTGTTTGTTTTTTTTGCGGTACGCGGGCCTCACTGCTGTGGCCTCTCCCGTCACGGAGCGCAGGCTCCGGATGCGCCGGCTCAGTGGCCATGGCTCACGGGCCCAGCCGCTCCGCGGCATGTGGGATCTTCCCGGACCGGGACACGAACCCGCGTCCCCTGCATCGGCAGGCGGACTCTCAACCACTGCGCCACCAGGGAAGCCCGGACGTGTTTTAAACTCTGTGCTGTTTAACCTCGTGGTAGCGTTTTACATTGTGGCCATTCCTTCCTGCTGCGACTGCCCTCCATTGGCTTCTGTAACACATTTCCTCCCGCATTGGAGCCTCTGACTGCTCTTTGTCCTCTCCTTTGGGGTCATCTTGGTGGGTTCTGCCTGGGACCCTTGTCTTTTCACCTCCTGGGCTCTCCCTGGTTGACCTCGGCCACTACTCCCAGTCACAGAAAGAAAAGGCATAGGGGCTTCCCTGGTGGCGCAGTGGTTGGGAGTCCGCCTGCCGATGAAGGGAACACGGGTTTGAGACCTGGTCTGGGAGGATCCCACATGCCGCGGAGCGGCTGGGCCCGTGAGCCACAACTACTGAGCCTGTGCATCTGGAGCCTGTGCTCCACAACAAGAGAGGCCGCGATAGTGAGAGGCCCGCGCACCGCGATGAAGAGGGGCCCCCGCTTGCCACAACTAGAGAAAGCCCTCGCACAGAAATGAAGCCCCACCCCAGCCATAAATAAATAAATAAATTTAAAATCATATGGGCTTCTAAGAAGACCTCTGCTTAAAAAAAAAAAAAAAAAAAAGCACAGTCATTGTTCTTGAATTCCTCACAGCCCAGTGAGCGAGACAGAAGCTAAACAGTAATTATAGTGCCTGGGGGCTGGGGTGTGTGGAGGAGCGTCTGGGGCACGGGCGCAGCACCAAGCATGTCCAAGAACATTGAACGGGCGCATTGCGGGGATGGGCGTGGGAGTTGGTCAGGGAAGGTCTCCCCCCGGGGGGTGGCGACCTAAGATTGTGGCGGAGGAGTAAGTGTTGAGTTCATGAAAGAGAAGTGGGGAGAGCAGGGCAGGCAGAACAAACCAGCGTAATCCAAGGCCTGGGGATTTGCAAAAAGCGTGGCTTTCTTGGGAGCGCCTAGTTACTCTTTTTGGCTGGAACACTGAGTGTGGGGGTGGTGGGTGTCAGCCAGAAAGGAAGTGAGAGTCAGTTCAGATCACTGAGAACATTATCCTGACATCAGGGGAAAACAGTGAAAGAGTTTTAAGCAAAGAAGTTAACCTGATCAGATTTAAAAGATTGCTCTGGTAGTAGAGAGTGTGATGGGAGAGCTAGTAGGAAACTGTCCCTCGCAGCGTGGCTATGGTGATGGGAGAGCGGGGAGTGGATAGATGTGCGGTAAAATTTTAGAGGCCGTGACAGGCTGGAGAGTTCCCAGATTTGGTTGAGGCAGAGGTGGCTTTCAGCTCGACCTTCTGGCTCCTTAGAAGTCAGACGTTGCCCAGAGCACCGATAGGAATTCCCCGAGTTCTGTACTGCTGCTTCCGGGTCAGGAAAGGGGTAAGTAGCTGCTGTGAGGTGAGCCAGGGGTGGCCCAAGGATTTCATGTCTTCCGGATTAGTTCCAATATAAAATACTACCTGATATTGTATCTTATCTTTCTGAAAGAATAAAATATTTTCACATGATTTCATCATGAAATATCTTTGAGGAAGACAGGACATAGCCCAGGAAGATTGTTATCTAACACGAAGGCAGATAAATGTAGCAGGTCACCTATCTAATTTGTTATTATTCCTAGACAGTAGTATCTACCCATCTCCAGTCTGGCTATAGCACAGGTCATTCATTTAAAGCTAGAACAAGGGCATCTGAGAAATTCCACAATGATGCAAACATTGTTGAGCTCTTCCTATGGTCCCAAACTAGGTCCCAAACTCAGCCAGACACAATTCTGGGGAAAGGGGCTGTGAATGGAGGGTTAGTTTTAACCTCCTGACTCCCTTACCCACCAAATAAAGACCTTAAGATGAACCTAGATCCATTAAAGAGTGATCTTGGAGATCTAATTACTCCAGATCCAAACTCAACAGCAGACAAGTCTTCAGTATGTGTATGGAGTCAGCCATTCACCCATCACTCTCTGTTACAGTACAGAAGGTCATATAAAAATGTGAGTTAGTGATGGAATCTACCTAATAGCCATACCCAGAGGCCAAAACATGGCATTTACTAATCCATGGGGATTTAGAAAACTAATTTTATGTTCTTATGCTCCCTCTGCTGGTTTTATTTCTGGAGCTAAATGCCAAATATCATAGTTCTTTGATATTTCTGCAGAAATTAGAATATATTTCTGCCAATGTCACACACTGATTTGAACAAAGGGGAAAAATATCAGATTTTGACCACTGGAAACTACTAGTATCAATAAAATCTTTCTTTTTCTTCTAAGAATTTTTTTGGTTACTATGAACATATTGGAAATAGGAGGGCTTGAATGTGAACCGCCCAAAGCATACTACTTAACGGAAAATTAAATACAGACTTGTTCATTGACTGTTAGGAGAAGTATTGAAAGTAACAGTGTAGCTATAATAAAAATAACTAAAACAAGGACAGGCACAGTTCAGTGCAAATATGCAAGTTCAGATCATTAAGCTGAAAGCTTAATTTTTGTTTACAGTAGAGGCTTTCACATCTAATAGATGTGGATTTT